AAGAGAGTCCTGACTAGCGACCGAATCAAGAATGGGACTCATTCGATCAGACGCACAGACGCAGCGGCGGGAAGTACGTCGCGAGACAATGTTGACTGCCACCCGAAACGAACAAGTCGACAATTACGGTCCGACAGACAGTCCGCAGCTAACGGGAAAGATATCCACCGAATGCTACTATGTCGGAGCTGTCGATCAGCGCATCTCACGCCGCGATCGGGTCAAACCAGTCGGAATGGCACGCGGAAAAAGAGGCAACGTACGTGCCAAGTGCGGACCAAAACCAACAAGGAATGACCCACAGAAAGAGGAATGAATCATCCCGCCGCGCGGTTGAGAATTGATTGTAAATAATCGAATGCATACACCGTTTTCTTTTGGATTGGATCAATAGACGTTTTTCTCAGCCAACTCGNCGTCGGACCATAGGGTCCAAGGCACGCTGGTGACAGCCACTAAACCACTATCCCACCTCTACCAAGCGACTTCGCCGATTTTACGGATAAATCAACGTGGCTGCTGTGGGATTTCGACTAGGTCCCATGGTACCAAACATTTTTCTAGCAAAACAGGATAATGTATATTTGAAACAGACTATTCTAAATTTCACCGTCTATTGCGGATACCTCGACGATACACTTATCGCCTGTTATTCCCACATGAGCCAAGCACAGTTTAAAAAAATCAATAGATGTCATCCGGCGGTTTGTTTGATCCTTATGAATAAAAAAAAATCAATCGGACAACCACCCTTCTCAGACGTACTGTTATTAAAACGAGAAGACGGTTCCATTTAACGAAGCGTCTTCCGCAAAACGACCTTGGTTGATGTGGTAATCCTAAACTACAGGGTAACGCAAACCAAGGGATGACACGTTACAATTTCTGGACAACTGTAATGAGTCAACCCTCTCAGATGACCCTAGTAAAGCGCCTTCGCGTTACAGCTTCTGAACAACGAACTATAGACCGATTGCGCCAATCAATCAGAATTCGTGCGGCCCAGACAGAAGCCGTACGACATCAAAAGTACGAGCACGCGATTGATAGAGGTTTGGATGACCAATGACCACTGGTTTAACCACTGTTTTCTTCCAATAAATGAACTGCTACTGCTGTGGACTTTTCCTTGCGTCTCGGTCCCATGGGATACTGTCATGCAAGTGCCAATGTGATTCAATGCCTGTGTAGCGTCCGTGATTCCTAATAAGTGATTCGTACTTCGTTATCTGTGCGTACTTCAACCATCACAGTTGGTCAATATAAGCTTTTCTTAACTTTTATCTCCATGAAATACAAACAAAACCTGGTCTGACTGACTTCTAGCAAACCGAGTGCGTGCGATTTGTCGTACTTTACTCAAATGACTATCCAGAAGATAGTATTGATAAACGTATACAATTAAATCCCAGCCCAATCAAAGTTGGACAGTTTCTCGGAGCTTAATGAGAAGTACTTTTGGGCTCCACCGCGAGTGATCTGATTTTTTTAGGCCGTAGTTAGGTTTGAAAAATGTCTAGATATAATGTGGAACAAAACAAATTTGGTGTGCATTTTGGAGAGAATAGAAATGTGAGTGGGAACATATTGCCTAGATTTACTTTCGTCAGCAGTTCTTTTTTTAGATCGGGTTGATGGAATGGAATTTTACGGGGTTTCAACTATCCGACTTTTTCCGAGCTCTGATACACCGATTCCACAAAGCTGGAAGCGGTTGGTGGTTTGGTTCAGTTTACCGGGTGGGATATCGTAGTCCGAGAAACTTTTTCGAAATGGTATATTGAGCTGTGCCCCGAGGGGTTAACTTGGAACAACCACATAGTACACTTGATGCTCTTAATATTCTCTCTTTCACCTCATTTTACTTCATCCCAATATGGACCATATCATCTCATCTTAGAACTAATGTTTGACAGGTTCCTCGATTGTTCCAACAGCACACGATCAAAGTTCAAGTCGATCTCAGTGTGACTCGTTGATTCGCGGCAGTTCATTCCCGAGGCAATAGAGTTTTTTGGGTCGTGGTTGTCTATAGTTTCTTACACCGTGATTGACTTGATTGTGGTTCTATTATATCCATCATTTTCTATTATTGTTATTATTATTATTATTATTTTTTGTTTGGAATGTAATAAGCAGTAGCTGAATTCATTATTCTGATTGCAGGTTGTTTTTATTAATGTAATAAACCGTCGATGAAAAAGCTCAACCGGTATTTTCGAACAGCAAACTACACATATACAAAGTCCCGTTACGGTACGAATCATACTGATCTGGATGACAGCTAGACCGCCCATCACTCATTTCTGGTGTAAATCAGAGGATTGTTGTAGTAATCGAAGTAGGTACGGATGACGGATCACAATTCACGATCGCAAATGAATTACAAAATCGCACTAGCACTTGTAATCTGGAATTTCCCGTCACCGAGATGCAGAAAAAGGGCCACAGAAGTAGCGGTTCGTTTATTGAAATAAATAAATAAGATTAAACAAAATGCAAATAGAAATAATTTTGATCAAATGGAAATCAACCAATCACCATTCTTTTTCTTTGAGTCATATGACTTCTGTTTGAACTGTATGACTGTTGGTTGATCAGTTCTGTTGGTCCATGGCCCAATGTCCGGAAACTGGAACGCATAGGCGCTTAGTTGGCGTCATCTAGGACGGTTGACTCACCACAGTTTCATCCTCTTATCTTGGGTTTCTGCAACATTGAACGATCTAACAATAACAATATGCATTTTTCTGTGTGTGTGTGTGTGTGTGTGAGGGGGGGGGAACTTTGGTTTCATGTTGTGGCTGATGAATGGAAATTCTCATTTGACTCACAATTATTTGTGAGTAGTGGTGTGGGACTATTGATTTGAGCTGACTATCTTTCGGACTTCACCTTCACGCACAATCCTCAGCTCATCGATTCAACCACTCTCGGAAGCACTAGACTCGAGTTTCACAAGTGATTGTGATTCAAATGCGGAATATCAATCCAGTCCGTACCTGCTTGGAAGTCCTGACTTGGTGGGAGGCTTTCGATTGAAGTTAACAGTATGTCATATGTGTCTCCCTTCGTTGCTGTCGGGTCAAATGAACTAACTGTCACTGAAAACGACTCCTGAACAAGCATGAATTGGAAATTTGGTTCATTCATGGTATGAGCTGATTGGCGCAGTGGTAACATACACGCCTTCCATACTATGGGTCCGGAACTCAAATCCCGGACGGGACGGTAGATATGCACTTCTGATGAGCTCCAATAAAAGCGAAACTCGAGTCCATCGAGTGCTTCTGAGTTTATCATTGAATCGACGAACTGCGGATTGTTCGTAAAGGTGAAGTCCGAAGGATAGCCAGCCCAAATCAATAAAAAAGAATGGAAGTTCATCAGCTAGAGGTGATTAGGGAAGATACAAGCGGAAAAGTTTTACACCACAGTATCAAATAAAAACCGTGATATATACATATATATATATATGGTGTTGTTTTCTTTTTTTAGTGGTTTTCAGCAGTTGATTGTACTTTTCGATCTTCCCTCAACGCAATGGTATTTAACTCTCCTCACCATAAACACTAATTTATCCGTTTTTTCCTGACACTGCAATAAGCAAAAATATGTTAAAATCTCTTATTCCATATTAAAGAAAGTGACATAGTGAGAACATTATTGTTGATGGTAAAAGCAATCCGTTCTATCACTTTCCTACCTTATTCATTTTTGAATTTTCACAGTTGCAACGTTACGAAGGAGCCTCCACAATTTACGGCCCACTTTCATTACCTGCCTATGTATCTCAATTCAAGAAGTTGGCAGCTGCGCTGATTCAAGTGAGTTGCATATTACTGGTTTTGCCCGCGGTTCCGTTTGACTGTATGTCCAGTTTCTACTCTTACCTATTCCAATGTTGTGATTTTGCTTAACGAGACTTCCCATCCTCCTCCTGCTCCTTCTCATCTGCGAGTATGTTTTTTGGGGATGATACACCGTTATGGGATAAATAGCAAATGAGATAATCCCCCCTAGTCACAACAAACTGTCGTTCACTTGTTGAAACTGGCAACCGAAGCCCCGGTTCTTGGAGTGATCAACCCTTATTAAAGCTTCGGAAGATTAGGTGTGCTACCCGGGCCAGATAGCAGCGGAGTTGCCATGTGTCAGTGATGAGGTTCGAATCCCGGCCCATTATGGAAACAAAGCGCACTGATGATGGCTACTTAAACCGCTTGATTGTCTGTCTAGGCCGCACGGTTTCTGATTGGTTGGTACAATTGACCTATGGTTTGTAGTTCAGTGGCTGTGACACTTAGGCGCTTTGCTGACGTCACTCGTTAAACTTGATTTGACACAGTTTTCCGAACACTGGAACGTGTCGCTCTGTGGTATAAGTCATCTCGTAGGCTGGGATCACCACAAAAAGACTGCAAGAATTCATTTCCTGGACCAATGTATTCAAAATGAATTTTTATTGGGAGTAAACTGAATTGGAGTAATGAAACCAAATCGAACTTTCTTACATAAACCGTGAATTCCAGATTGTGTTGTTTTGACCGTTTCAAATAAATGCATTCAGATTGACAAATTGGAAATTATCCAAGGCAGGATCATTAAAATCGGGATCATATTTCTATATGAAACATTCGGTCCCCTTTATCCTTCTCATCAATATGGAGAGAGAACACAAACGTGGTGAGATGCTAACATTTTATTTGATCTTCTCAATCACTAAGTTAAAACAAACAGATATATAAGTGTAGAAAACAATGTAGTGAACAAAACTTGTTTTCGATGACTTCATCCTCGGGCTAACACAGTTATATATAGGGTTCAAAATTGTCAAATTAGTGTAACAGTCAGATATGATGAATATGATTGGTTGATTGTGATTTTTTGATGTGTGGTTTGGAAACGAGAGGGCAGTTTGTGTTGTTGTTGTTGTTGTGTGGTTCGGAAACGTTCACAGACGCCGGCTATAGTGAGCTGTTTCATTTTCAGACTGCGCCCATGGGTCATGACAAAAGTCACGGTTTTTTCGGTCGGCTGTGTCAGGTTGAGGCCAGGGTAAGCGAAGTGACTGAACGAATCGCTTTTGAGAACAAAGGGATGGATTGAGTAGGCGAATAGCCCCCTC